CTGTGGGTCAGAACCCGAGTACTATAGTCTCTAGACCACCATGGCGGGACAAGGTTAACTTCTTTATTCTGCCTTTTGTGTAAAAAAAGGCGCTGGTTTAAGCAATGTGTTACGCTTGAAAGCATTTGGAGATTTATCTGAAACCAGCTCTTCCACAAAAAAGACAAATACTGTGTGCCAACGAACCTGTGATCGATCTATAAGGGCGAAGTTTGATTATTCATCAAAGTGAAAAAATAAATAAGGTAAGTTTTAATCATTCATTATTTGCACACACACACACACACACACACAACACAGACACACAACACACACACACAACACACACACACAACACACACACAACGCACACACAACAAACACACACACAGCACACACACAACACACACACGCACACAACACACACGCACACACACACACAACACACATACACAACACACACACACAACACACACACGCATGCACACACACACACACACACACACACACACACACGTAAACATAAACGCACGCACTATCTAGAACATGCACAGAAATTGTTCCTACTCATTTGCAAACATTCTGCAGTTTTATTTTTACTTCCTCAAACATCTGTTTTCATAGACACGTAGCTATTGAGGGGAGTGTGTGCAGCTGCCACAGATGTTATTCTGCACAATGTCAGGGGGATGACCATTGCAAGAGAAAACAAAGTCTTTCGTTTCACACAAACCTCCTGTGATGAACCCAAGGGGAGACGTTTCCTCTTTTGCTCTGGGACCTCTCGCAATCGTGCGTAACCGCTGATAAACCTTGAGGCAAGTGAAAAAGTGCAAGTACTGGGTCTAGATTAAACAGTGCAGCCCCCGAGGGCGCCTCTACTGCACTGCTGGTTTTCAGACAGATATATATGGTAGTGGCTCTTAAATATTCTAGCTTGAAGTAGAGCTCCGACACCTGAAGACGATTTCAGAAAGCGCTTCACTTTAATCGTCTACACACATGTAGAGAAAGAGAGAGAGAGAGAGAGAGAGAGAGAGAGAGAGAAAGGAAGGCCATTAGGTTAACCCTACCAAGCACTGGGGAACGGGGAAACAGGGGCGAGAAATAGAGGGTAGAGAGACAGGGCAAAAAACGCACGTGCACGCGTGAGAGAACAAAAACGCACACAAGAAGAGCGTTCTGGCTACAAACGTTCAGAAGAAAGAGAGAGAGAGATAAATAGAGAGGAAAGAGCGGAGGTTAACCAAGCTTGGCTCGGTTGGCTCGGTTAGCCGAGTCATAAAGGTGAACGAAGGTATGCCGGAGTTGCCACGGAAAGTTCCGGACCTTAATTTAGAAAAGGGCTTTGAAGCAAGGTGTCATCATGTAGCACGCAAGGACCTACACAGGATTCAGCTCTTGGTTGATAAAGCTGATTGTCAATACGGCGTTAATCAGCATGATTGGTTACGGCGTCAATCGGCGTTGTTGGAGTTGTGATAAAGCACGCACACGTGCAGCTGTATCACTCACGGTAGGTTTTTGGGGTCTACGCCGTAATAAAGAAAGCATTCAGCATTGCGATAAAACGGTAAGACTCATAGCCATGAGCACGATCGGGGCACCCCCCCCCCTCTAGTCACCTAAAAGGGAGGCAATAAGGCTGTCCTATATAATGACACGAAATGAAGGTGGCCCTGCAGTTCGAAGAGAGGGCGGCGCTATGTCAGCCGAATACGTAATGACTAATTAGGAAGAGGGGGTACTGCGACGAACTTTTGCTTTCCATGCTCTTAAGGGGAACTCTGCACCACCCTATGGTCAGACTTGTATACAAGTGTGTACGAGCCCTCTTGGAGTTGTGTTACCCAATCATCGCGGCAACCATTAGAATCATTGAGGCTGCCATTGGCGCTGGCTAGTATTTCCACTTTTGCTCATATATAAATACGCAACACCTACACCAGATAAAATGAGGTTTTCCGGTGCAGCATTTTTTCAATAAACAGTACGGTTCGTCGCATATGGTCAGGAGGAACAACCGAGCAGGCGCAAGCGTCGCGATGGACCAACCATGATCATCGTCGTCTTTCTGCCTAAGAGTCATACCCTCTACCTTTCAGAATAACGCTGACCGTTTTCATTCCGTAATAAACAATAAATTAACTGGGGGAAGTGAGGTGGCAGTGAGGCAAGGCCTTGACATCCCCCCGTGGGAGACTCAGGACTCGGTCAGCGAAAGCTCCCCGGTCTACCAATAACGTTGTTACCTACTAACCATTGGGGAAGGCTCCGGCTGTATAGAATTCGGCAGAACTTCGAGCGCACACTCGAAGGTAATGTATTGAGTGTTCATCTGTATCGAGATGCTTTTTCGCGTGCTCTCTTATTTCATTTTACAGCTGATAGGAAATGAACTTCAAGTAAGGCTAGTGAAAATACTCGTAATGTATTTTTTTTTTTGCAGACAATAGCAGTTTACCTCGTGATCATCGCTTTTATGTTTCGTTTTTTTGACAGCACTTTCTGAAAACTTCGATAGAACAGCACCTCCCTATTGGAAAAATTGCCATGGTGGATACTGGAATACATGGTGGGCGTAGTGGAAATAATAGTGGGCATGGTGGAAATATTAGTGGGCATGGTGGAAATTATGATGGCTATGGTGGGACGTAGTGGAAAATATGGTGGTTATGCCGGGACATACTGGGTTGTATGGTGTACAGATGATGGGTAAAGTGGAAATGATGGTGGAAAGCAGAGGCTAGATAGTGGGCAATAATGGGACACTCTGCCCACCATTTCGATAATGCTGGGAAGCCCTAAGCATATGGTGGGTGGTGCTTATCATGGTGGGCTACATGGTGTACCAAGTTGAGAAACTCTTCCCACCATTGCGATAATGCTGGGAAGCATTAAGCAGATGATGGGTGCTGCTTGTTTGGTGGGCCATATGGTGTACCAAGCTAAGAAGCTCTGAAAACCATCGCGATAATGCTGGGAAGCAGTAAGCAGATGATCGGTGGGCTTATAATGGCGGGCAATTTATATAGTGTACCAAGCTGGGATCTGTACACTACATGTTCTACCACCATGATTTCCACCAAAGGTTAGGCCTACTGACCGAGCCCGTACAATTGTGTTATCCGTGCTTCTGGGTTTCAGAATACACGATTACGGCGATTAAGTATGACAATACAGTGCAGCCATATGGCATCAATCAACCTAAATGAAGCATTTTTCATTGTGTATGGTGTCCGCTCAAGAAGCAACAAACATCGATGCGACGCGATTAAAGCACTCCAGGAGACCGTAATTAAGTGTCCTCTCACCGACAGCCGCCGGTCGCACTCGCCGGCACTTCTCTAGCTTTTGTACGAGAACTCACACGTGGCAATTCGTGTGCTTGGAGAACCATTATGATAGCGTAATGTTTCCGGCACACTGCATTCGTTTTGGCCAAGCCGTTATGTAGTTGTTGCTTTAGCGAAAGAGCTACAGCATCGCACTGGCGCGACCGCCCTCTACATTATGCGAAAAGCCCCCCAATACTCAATCAAATAAATTAGGCGGGCGTATCTATGAAATGAGCCTAGAAGCGTCATAAAGCGTGAGCAGATGTCGCCCTTTAGAACGAGCGCGAAACGGATATTAAACTTGGCAGACCCCGCCGGTAAACTGTTGCTGCTCCCCAGTCCACTTGGTTTTTTTTTTCCTTGAAGTTGTGAATTGTAAAAAAAAAATAGCACTAGTGTCATTAACATAGTGGCAATCGTTGCAGGCCGCAGTTGCTTGTGTTTAATAAATGTGCAATTTTTAGTAGGAGGTGTAGATCTTGTCTATGTTGTGTACACGACAAACATAACTCAAGTTGAACCTTAAGTTTGTATGCCAACTAAAAATTTAACATGCAATGACCGTCATGTTGGTGTGGCGCAGTGGTTAGCGTCTTCGAATATAAACCCGCAGGTTGCACGTTCGATCCTCCGTGCGCCTTGTTTTTTTTTTACGGGATAGGTGTTTTTTATACCGTTTTTATAGAATTCTTTTTTATTTTTTGTGGCAGCTCGTCACGGTGATTCTGACGTCATTTCACGCTCAAGTGTTGCCGGCACTGCAGCACCCACCATACCCACCATGCGCCATGGTGGGCGTTTCCCACCATTCACCCACTACATTAATCCACTATAATGGTGGGTGGTGGTTTCCACCATGCCCACCATTCGTTTTTTTCCGATAGGGCTAGTTAATTGTTTTCGTTCATTATTAGAAAATTTAAATTATCAGAAAAAAACTTGATTTCATTTCCTCAGTAAGAAAACCCTCAGAGAGATATGCAAAGTTTCCGCATCTGCCCCGCCGCGGTGGTCTAGTGGCTAAGGTACTCGGCTGCTGACCCACAGGTCGCGGGTTCAAATCCCGGCTGCGACGGCTGCATTTCCGATGGAGGCGGAAATGTCGAGGCCTGTGTGCTCAGATTTGGGTGCACGTTAAAGAACCCCAGGTGGTCAAAATTTCCGGAGCCCTCCACTACGGCGTCTCTCATAATCATATGGTGGTTTTGGGACGTTAACCCCCACAAATCAATCAATCAAAGTTTCCGCATCTTGATGACTTTAAGGAATGACATCTATGCTGGCTGGACTGTTCTGTAAGAGCAGGTAAATCCCGTTCTAATCTTTAGCTACGTCAATCGACCGTCGACATATCTAAAACATCATGCCTACTTTGACGTTCTCTATAACTAAAGGTAAATACTCACCAGCCCAGTGCCTTAACAATATTTTAACCAAGTGTCTGCACGAACCACAAATGTTATTTCTTGTGCACACTTTCATAACATCGTAGAAGACGCATATCTCTTACGTATATTCCACCCTAACAATGGAAAATAAGTTCAATCACTTCGCTTCATTGTGTCGCTGTGCAGAAAATATTAAGAAAGATTATTTTTTGAAAAGGACTTTCATTTCCAATGTATATCCGCAGCTGGTGCTTCACAATGCCAGCTATGACATACACAGTGCAGCCCCATCAGTTTAAACGATTGTACAGATAGTGAAGCTGCACTGTCAAGGCGTGTCGACGCCTGGCTTTGACCCACGGAACATGTTGTATTAGCAGAGACCAGTAGAAATGTGAGGTTCCTTGTGGAAAAAGCGTGCGTAAACGTTACAATTTACAGCAAGCTTGCAACAGGCTTTAGAGCTCAATTTTGGCTCTGTATTGAGAATCCCAAGAGTATCAAAACTGTGAGTAGCTCGACAGCTTTAACAATATTGATGCTAATTATCTCACTGCTCAGTATGTGTAGTGAGCTCCTGTTGGAAAGTTTTTCATCTTGGAAATGGCTAACTTATGTTTAGTGTAACATTACCATTATTTGATATAATATTTTTTTAATTGCCAAGAAAATAATTGAGCTGAAATAAGAACATATAGGCATTCAACACTCACAAACTCAGGAGTGGTGAAAACATAATTGATTGTTGTGTCATTAGAATCTGTATACCGCGAAAGTGAAAAATGTCTTCACAGAACTTGTGCTTATTGTGCAGCAATCTTGAGAAATTGGACATCGTGTATCGTTGTTTAGCTGCTATAGCATTCTTTGACGTGCATGCACTGACACTGGCGCCTGGTTGCACATTGCCATTTGATGACTTACACCAACGATTACTATTTGATTGTTGTGGTATCAAAAGGTATTACAATACCACACAAGGATTGCATCAGCAAGCACACAATAAACTCTGGTACTTAATGCTCACTTCGAAGTGGGGTGAATTAAGGTGAATAATGACGTTATATCCACAAAGTGAATGATGATAAAGAAGCTTGCTCTGAAGGTTACATCTGATAAACCATGAATTCTATGTACATCCAATCGACTATCATAAAAACAGGTGCCTATCAGAGGGAACGAATGTTTTAGGAGGTAAAACTGCCACACTAATTATTATTATTATTATTATTATTATTATTATTATTATTATTATTATTATTATTATTATTATGCAAAAGTTCTGAGGTGAAAAGTGTCGAAACATTCACATACCAAGGCGTAATTTTTCATTGTGGCATGTCTGTTTTTCAATATAAAAAGCTTGGTGCCTCTACCAGTTAAAAAATGATAGTTCATTAGTTCATTCGTTAGCATATAGTGCAGTGGGATAACAGTTGTTGCATTTTGCTCAAAACGCTGGAAAATACGCATTGATAGAATTAGTGTGATGACTTTATAGTGCCATATGTAACGCGTCGACCCCTGAGAGAAAAAAAATTGTTTTGTAGTACCCCGGTTCTCTACCAGATATGGAGAAGCATGTAAAAGTGTATACAATCCAAAACTTTTCAATGCACTACCTGACGACTTTTTTTCAGTTAGTTCGAAAAGGCAATTAAAAATTACTCGCTGAGCTGTAAAATCACATGGTCTATTTGTATGCCACGTGTGCTCTGTGTCCCGCCTTTGTTCCTCTTTTTTATTTACTGCCTGTAAAAAAGTAACGGTGTTAATCGTTTGTCTGTTCGTTGGTAAGGAAGCAACAATAGTTTTGTTACCTTGTATCCACATTGCTGTAACCGGCTCTGCCACGCCTAGTCGCACAAGTCCTGGGGACTTAGACAGGCCCGTTTCTTTGTATTTCTTATGGATGTGTACAATAACTTATTATTATTATTATTATTATTATTATTATTAGAGCGGAGGCTTGTTGCAGCGCCTTCTCCTCCACCATTTGGTCAATATATGACTGAAGTTTCCATTCCAACCTCTTAGCTGACTGAGGGGTGGCTGCCCCTCTACCCCAGAAACAGCGTGAACCCGAAGGAGCCCGCGCTGCAGGGGCATTGCGAGCCCCCTGTTCCACCACATGCTTACTCGATGTTCATGATGGGTAGCAGTATCGAAGTGCACTAGTGATCTCCAGCGAGCCCCGCTGTGGTGGCCTAGTGGCTAAGGTACTCGGCTGCTGACCCGCAGGTCGCGGGTTCGTATCCCGGCTGTGGCGGCTGCAGTTCCAATGGAGGCGGAAATTTGTGGCCCGTGTGCTCAGATTTGGGTGCACGCCAAAAAACCCCAGGTGATCGAAATTTCCGGAGCCCTCCACTACGGTGTCTCTCATAATCATATGGTGGTTTTGAGACGTTAAACCCCACATATCAATCAATCAGTGATCTCCGGCGAAAGAAGGTGTGGTACTATCAAACTAAAGCACGCATGAGAGTCGAGCAAGCGTCGCCTAAGTGGCGACGCACTATCTAAGACGCGTCATCAAAAGCAACCGAGTGCACAGCGGGATTGCTAGCGGGAACGGCGTGAACTAACGTGACTGACGGCAGGATGAGCACGCGCCGACAGTCGAGCGAGTGTCATCTAAGCAGCGGCGCGCCATCTAGAGTATGGCATTCAAACGAACCAATAACACAGCTAGTGGGAGCGGCGAGGACTAGCGTGAGAACGACGACAGAATGGATGGACAAGGCTTGAGCATAAGGAGCAAAATTTTAAGAGAAAAATTCACAGCATATCCACGAAGGGAATGATGACGAGTGGGGTGAAGCCTCTATTCGTCTGTCTGTCTGTCTGTCTGTCTGTCTGTTTGTTTGTCTGTCTGTCTGTTTGTCTGTCTGTCTGTCTGTTTGTCTGTCTGTCTGTCTGTGACCGAAATATGTACGGATGCTTTGCCTCACTCACGAACAGTCACTCCGAGGATATGCTGTGAATTTTTATAAGAAAACTACTAACGCCGTGTATTATAATTTCCAAGGACAAATACACACAAAGTCATCTAGTGAGCAATTATCATTGCTACTTAAAGTAACCCCTACTACTACATACTGCCACTACGAAGAAACTATCCACACACTCAGGAGCTTCGCCCCTAAAATTACACTATATCCGGTAAAGGGGTCGCGAAACACCATTGGTGCATGTGGAAGTAGCACTAATCAGACAATGAGCCCTCGCATGCTTATACAAAGCAAGGAACACAACGGGATTAAAGGGCGGCTTATCAATGTTAGCAAGGCCAGTATTTTATGCTGCCATCCAGGCACTTTCACTATGGGCTCCAAGATTGTGAGCAAGCGTTATCTTAGACACCATGCTTTAGCTGCATCATCGAGGAACTATTCTCTATTGACGCTAGTCTTATGTCGCATTACTTCTCGTCATCAATTAATGACGAAGGCACCTCTGCAGTTACTAACAGAGAGCACTGTGCGAGAATGAATACGAAAAGATATGAGGTGCGTTTGTACGGAGCTTGCATTTGCCTCGATATCTTATGTTTTTTGGTATTAGGAGCTCGATTCTGAATTCTAAACATGCTAAGGTTTTTCTCGACAGGCATCGTCGTGCAGTGTCAATATCGATAAGAGAAGTCTACTCTAACAGCGCTTTGGTGACAAACTCAGGTAACATATTGGTAGAATTTGAGATTAACTCGTGAATATTCTTTAATGCTGGTAGTTTAATAACAATGCTCAGCTTATGTACTATCCCTTGTTTCTTATCAAGCCGTTAAAAGATGAAGAATGTTCAGTTGTGACCACTCCTATCACTCAGAAATAGCTTGAATTTGCCATCGATGAGTTATCTCAGACGAAACTGTCCGGTCCTGATGGAATATCAGGCGAATTATGAAGCATTCAAGGGTCGTCTATTTCATGTTCTAATGAGAATTTTTTCGGTGGCGTTAGAGATTGAGGCTCTTGCGAAGGTGTTTACCAAAAGTTATAAAAAAAACTTACGCCATGTTGCTGGCTACAGGTCCTTAATGTTATGTATAGTAAACTGTAAAATACTTGCCGAGGTTGGAGCTAACAGGTGGCAGTTTATAAAATCAATAACTGTTGAACCCCATGACACCTGTGGTCTGAAAGGTTGTTCTATGCAGCCTAACACCCATGTCGCTCGTGCTATTCTCGATTTTTGTTCAAATCCTTGCCACCAGCTTGCATTACTGCAAGTTGACGTTGCAAAAGCTATCGGCCATGCTTGTCACTCACCTCTGTTTTCTCTTTTTTAGAGCGTAGGGTTTCCCAAATTGAGCTACGGGGGTCTCTGGCGCTGTGATTGTTCAGCGACCATGAGAATAATGGGTATGAAATGAATTTGCCTAGTCTTCGTGCTTGCCGGTGGTGAATGCACGTGGGGCTTCGTTAATTGCTGTGATTTTTTCCCGAAAGATAGAACGAGTCCTTTTGAACTTCGTGACTCGATTTGAAGTTGTAAGCCTCTAATATTAAGGTGGTCAGGCGTAACAGCTGAATATTTGCTGATTGTTGTTTTGTGGCAAAGCAGACACGCGAAGCCAGAACGAACGTAAAGTTCGAAGACTCGGCAGATCCATGTCATACACACAATTCTCATGCTTGCTGAAGCATAATGCGGTGAAGCTCCCATAGACACTAAGAGCTACTTCTAGTGTATATTTCGGATGCTTTATGTGCTAGAAAGCTAATGCAGATTCTACCTTGCTAAAAAAGAAATTGGTATGATCACAGTTTTACCCGCCTTATAGTTCACGGTCGCCTCTCGCAACTTATACCTATCTGGTCTTCCATCAAACAGGGATGCCCTATGTCAACGCTCGAATAATCTTTTTACCTAAAACAACTGTGCCTGCATATCATTCAATCTCATAATATTCATGGTTACATACTCCTAGAAAATAAAGTGAAAATTTTAGCGTATGGAGATGGGGTGACCTTTTTCTGCACTGATAACCCCAGCACAAGAATAATTCTTGAGGTGATAGTGCAACTTGCAAGGACCTTATGTGCACAGATGAACTTTTGGAAGGATTCGTGTCTTTGGTCTGGGTCATGAGGATCTACACCTGATAAGTTTGTGATATTGGACGGTCTTTTATGTTACGAAAATGTTTTGAAGTTCCACGCAGTGTGCACAATTCACGTTCAGCCCTACTGTGGTGGTGTATTCGCTAAGACACTCGCCTCCTGACCCACAGGTCGTGGGATGAAATCCCGACGGTGGCGGCTGCATTTTCCATGGAGGCGAAATAGCTGTAGGCCCTGTGCTCATACTTATGTGCAGGTTAAAGAACCCCAGGTGGTCTAAACTTCGGGAGCCCTCCCGTACGGCGTCTCTCATGATCATATGCTGAATTCGGCATGTTACAACCCACATGTAAATAAACCAACAAGTCAAGTTGATACTACTTAAATAAGGTGGCAAGCCTTGAACTCTATCCTAAATTATTCATACCACATAACCTTTCGA